ACACGTGGACATCCACACTCGTAACGAATCTGATGAAATTTATGAAATTCTTGTTGGTAATTCATTTATATATTTTGCCAATGAATTTATTTTATTTTCTCGTTAGTTTACGTTTTTGCTTTATTGTGTTTTTTGTTTTATTTATATTTGTGTTCTTGTTTCTGCATTCATTTGCTGCTGCTTCTCTTGTGATATTTTTAATGGCATTTTTTCCACAGCCAAATTCCGACGCACAACAACAACAACTTCAGCATGGCTGGAGCGGCGCCTGAGAATCCGAGCAGGGGCCGGGCCGGGACGGTCCGGGCTGGGCGGAGACGTCATGGCACACGACAAATAAATTTGTCAACGAATGTGGACAGACAGACTCGCGGCGGGCTGGGGCTGTGGAAGAGGGCTGGGCAGGGCCGTGGGATGGGGGATGTGGAGCCCGCGAGCAGGCGTGGGCGGGCAGCCGCGCTGGAGCACGGGCAGGGGCAGGGGCAGGGACAGGGCGGTGTGAGGCGGCAATCGCACAAATAACGACGACAGTTGCTCATTAATTTTTTCACTAATTAATAATTTGTTGTTGGCTGTGCTGTGCTGTGCTGCTGTTGCGGTGAGCGCTGGTCAATGAAATGGTTTATTGGGCTATTAGCGCAGCATTTAAATGGCAATCAGGGCGTGGCGCAGCGGGGCAACCGGGCAGGTGAACCAAAAAGTCACGCAAAGTCACAAATTAAACGCATAAACAAACCGACAAGCGAATAAACAAACAAACAAACACAACTAACGAGCCACCCGAACGAATGAGCGAGCATATGAACGCTCACATAAACAAAAAGCGAGGCATCCACCGCTCCACTCGTCCTGCCTCCACTCCACTGCCCACACAACCGGGTCCGACAAGCTGGTCAAATTGAAAACGAAAAGGAAATCAATTGATGTGTAGCGACAATCGATATGGTCGATATGGTCTGCTACGACTCGGTCAGGTTTAACCGAAAAAATGAAACAACAACAAACTGAAAAGAAGAACTCGAGCGTCTGTGGACACGCTCGAGCGATCTGAACCAGCAAGGAGGGTTGTCGGCGATGTTGTTATTGCGCTTTGGCACGCCCTAAACCACAGAGAACATGCAAGGCTGTGGCAGAGGGAGGGGAGAGCAAAAGTTTGGGGTGCGGTCTGTGACTATGGATTCTGTATTTTTGGTTAACTCTGTCTATATCTCTGTGCTGTGCGGTGTGACGGCATATGCGACCGAGGCTGCTACCTGATGGCAGCATATGCAGAGAAGCGAGCAGACGCAGTCGAGAGACATATGAGTATATCCACTTGGTGTTATCCTGACAACGTGATTGAAATTTATGACTGGCAAATACACGAACACCAGGCAGCCAGCAATGACAGTCGAAAAGCACCGGTGGGGTGGTGGGGTGGTGGGGTAGGGGGGTGCATGGCTTGGCGCGTGAGTTGAATTGAATTGGGCGAAAGCTCAACGGTCCAGAGCAGCACATTGAACGTCCTTCCGTCCTCGACTCGCTGTGAGAAATTGCACTGAATAAAAAGCACTTGTACGCATTAAAACCTAATTGGGAATTTCCATAGTTCATATGCCATTTTCTCGTACTACTGCTACTATCATCTCTCTGTGGCATGTTAGTGTATCTACATGCATCTATAGTATACGAGTATATAGTATATATACATTTATGGGTGCGTTTGTGTGTTCTACTTGTATGTCCTCCACCGTGTGTGGCTTGTTCTACATATTTTGACTTGCAAAATGTCACACGCAGTCAACAAACTGTTCCTCGTTGTCCGGCGCCGGTCGCCGGTCGCCATTTGCCAGCAGTTGTTGCTGATACTGTTGTTGCTTCTGTTGTTGGTGCTAAAGTGGATTTTGCGCTTGGCTATGATAAATTGAGGGTTTGCTGCTGGCCAAAGAGCCATGACTACGGCGGCGGACAGTCCGCCAGTTAGGGCACTCGTTTCTAAGCTGCATGCAGCACTCGTCGCACAGATGAGCACAAGTGGCCGAATGTCATTTGCAGGTTGACAACGCCGCCAGGGACACATCCACTCCATCCACTCCAGCTCTCCCTCTCCACCTCTGCCTCTGCCTCTGCCTCACCTCGCACAATGGGAGAGAATCTCATGTTTAGAACGGATAACTGACGTAATTCTATCCACACATACATGTGTACGAGTATGTACGTGTAATTGACATTTTACAATGTTTTATTTGCGGCATTCGGTCTATCAAATAATAGCTTACAGACATTCGTAATAGTTCTTCAGGCAGAGTTCGAATCATTCACAACAACTTTATTATTTCATGATTGATACCATTTTGTACAATTTAGAAAAATTTCTTGCTACTATTTTTATGAGTATTACATTATTATACCTTTGATTAGTTAATACAAATTTCCTATTTCTAAAGGAGCCAATACAAGTATTGTATTCTAATGCACATTGTTAATATTTTTCCACTGTCGCTTACCCTCTGTATTGATGCATTGCTGTATTGCTGTATTGCCGGTCATCTCAATAATTTTCTGCTAAGCTGCTGCACTTGGTTGCTGTCGCACTAATTTGATCAATTTCTGCTGAAAAACTGCCAACGACAAACCCAACCTAATCGACTTATCGTCCTGCCTGTCACATGCTGCGAGCCCCGAGCTTACTTCTGCTGCAATGCCCTTGACATGAACTTCAGAGCCAGTCAAAGCACTCAAAACTGTGCTGCACATGCAGGCAAAGGACGACGACGACTTCGATGGCAACAAGGACCCGTTTGCAACGTCTAAGCCTCAAAAATGTTGTGATAAGCAAACGCTGAAGCAGCCCCAGCCCAGCCCTCCTTTGATTTATTGTGTGCGGCTTAAAGTTGTGAAGAGCCTGAATGGCTGTATGGCTGTGTGGCACGCTTATCAAGGCTGCCAAGGGACTCCAGGATGCGTTGGCTTGGTCCAAAATGTATTTATTTGCAGTGACTTTGAAAAGAAACTTCGACTGCCGGGCTGGCTAGCTGTCTGCCTGGCTGACAAAAACTTTGACCCGCGGGCGCATCGATTATAAAACTTTTTGTCGTATCTTGTCTGAAGCCAAAGTCCGCATGGGGAGAGCGACAGCCGGCGTGGGGTCGAGGGGGCGAGCAGCGTGGATGGAAGCCAAGAACTTGGCAAGTTGTTAAATAGTTGCGTTGAGCATTTAGTTGATGCAGCAGCTACTGCCACTTGAAATGGTGCTCGCAATTAGTCGCAGCCATGGAAGATGGTAAGACAGGAAGGCAGAAAGGCAGGCCAGCAAGGCAAGGAAACAAACGGAACGTATGCGTTATAAAACTATATACGAGTATACTATATGTACAAGTATGCTTGCGTCCGACTGCAGTCCCAGTTGTGTGTGCCAGGCGAGTCATGCGTGGCTGCTGGCCAAGATTAGCGAAGAACTTTGCGAGGCCGCTTAGCTGCCACTCGCTCAAGTGGCCCCTTGCTCTCGTACAAGCACGAGCACAAGTTTGAGTGTCTGTGTGTGACTTAATTGTGTAAATGTCAAGACAAATTGCGTTAATACGCGGAGCACACAAAGGGCACACGTCGAGGACAACGCGGCAGGCAACATTGCCGCACACAACTGCAGCCAAAGTTGCGCATGTCAAATCCCTCAAGCAAAGGTCAGGGGCATGTTGTGCAGGGGCAGCGTGTGTCGTAAAAGTTTTTAAAAAGTATTTTAAGCAAAATTTATGCAAACCACAAAACAAGTTGGCAGCCAAGGCAGCCAAGGCAGCAGCAGCAACAGCGGCAGCTTCTTATGGCGCGCAAAAGGCGTTCATGTGCGAAGCAGCGGAGACTTTGGAACGCAGAAGCGCGTTCACGCTAATCCCCGAGTAATCAAAGTTTGGCAACGGCATGTCAGGCCAGTGGGATGGGGAGTGTGGGGGCGTGGCAGAGTGCCGACCCGGCAAAGACACACAGCAGAAAAAATGGCAAGCCGAAACCAAACAGCGGCACAAAGGCGAACGACATCTCGAATAGAAGCGGCAGCAGGAGCAGGAGCAGGAGCAGGAGGCTGTGGACCACTATGGTGGCCATAAGTTGGTTGGGGGCCAGACAAATTGCACACAAAAAGTTGCAGAGCATGCATACGTGAGTGTGTGTGTGTATGTATGTGTGTGTATGTATAAAAGTGTTAGAGATGGGTACGTGAGGAGTGCAAAAAAATAAGCTCACAGATGAAGGCATAAAATGTTAACGAGAATACAAGTATGAAAGACTTATTACACACGGTTTACTTAGTCTTTCAGATCCTATTTAGACACAAGTGCTAAACGGAATTTTTGTGGAAGCAGGCTAATCCTAAACGATCTAACATTAACCGATTCAGTTAGAGCCTTACACGGAACAGTTTATTACTTGAGATAGCAATCGAACTGTGCGAACAGACATAGCTTTGTGACTGACTATATGTGTAGCAGCAATGGGCAGACATGAGACATCCTTATATTGGAGGAGCGACAAACTATTAGCTTATTCTTATTTCATTCTCTTTCCGGCTGCCTGCGAGCTCATTTCCGGAGTTACTCGAGCCCTTCTCTTTGCCACCAACACGTCACTCAGCCGTCTCTAGAGTGTGTTGTGTGGCAAAAGCCAGAACAGTGGAAAAACCAAAACAAAAAAAGAAACACTTTTCCAATTAATGAAATCTCTAAACTGCCATAAATTTGGCCAAACCCAAATAATTAAATTTCGTTGGCATAGTTGGGGCGGACGTGGCCAACAAACACACGCACAACGTCCCACAAACACACAGACACGCACACACACATAAGCTCGACTAACAGTCAACGACTTGTTGACTTGTGTGCGTGTGTGTGTGTGGCAACTAATTGTGTGTTGGCCATGCCTGCCACACGCCGCAAAGTAGGCTGCAAATTATTTGCGCTTAGACACATGCGGCTGCGGTCAATTTGGGCAGCGGCAATGTCCTGAAAAGGTCATTCTGATTCACTCACCTGGTTGACACTGGCAGTCGCCATTTCCGTTGTTGTTTCCGCCAGCCGCCGCCGCTGCGGCAGCCGCTTCTGCCGCCTGCCTGCGCTGCTGCCGCCTCGTCAACTGCAAGTGGGAGACGTCGCGCCGCAGGCGATGCAACTCGCGTCGCACATGCAACGTCATGTGCTGCGAGCCATTCGCCTCGTTGCCAGTCAGCAGCGGCGCCTCCTGCTCCTCGGCCGCTGGCCAGTGCAGCAGCTGTTGCTGCTCCAACCGGAGCTCCAGCTCGACAATGCGTGCGTCCAGCTGCTGCAGACGCTGCAGGCGCTGCTCCATGCGTGTTTGCCTCACGTTTGTGTAGAGGGCGAAGCTGAAGCCGCAGAGACAGAGCACATAGCAGGCGATGTGCAGCAAGGACATCAGTTGCATTGTGGGCCGCGGGCGCTCCTTGGACGCTGGTCGCTGGAAGGTTGCTGCTGTTGTTGGTGTTGTTGTGCCTGCTGCCGCCTCAAGGCGACTTGCGGCTGCTGCTGTGGTTGGTGTGGCTGCTACTCCGCTGGCTGTTGCTGTGGCTGTGGCTGCTGCCGTCCTTGTTGCTGTTGCTGTTGCCGTTGCTGGGTTTTCGTTGGCCGCATGGCCCAGCAGCATGCGCTGCTCCATTTCGATTGTGGGCTGTGACAATTGTGCTTCACATGCAGGCGCTGTCGCTGCCCCTGCTGCTGGTTCTGCCTGTGTCGACGCCTGCGTCGCCATGTTGTTGGTGTTGCTGTTGCTGTTGCTACTGTTGTGGTTACTGTTTGTCCTTGGGCTGCCGCTGGGCGGCGTTTTGTGTTTGCGCATTGTGCGACTGTCAGAGTGCGCGTCTCCTTCAAAGTTTCCTCTGCTTCGTGTCCTAAACTAAAGCTGCGACCCCTTCTTTGCCACCTCCTGCCACTACTGTTGCTGTTGCTGGTGGGTTGCTGATGCTGATGCTGCTGCTGCTGCTTGAATATTGTGCCGGCACTTTGAGTGTCCTTGTCGCATCACAAAAACACATGTGGCGCACTGTTTGTCCCTCCGACTGCTCCTTTCGCCAGCGCTTGAGTTTATTTTAGATTTTCGGCCAATGCTCGTGAATTCTATGCTATGCTATACAAGTATAGTCCTCTATTCTGTTCTATTCTATTGCGTTTGCTTGCGACTTTTCGTAGCGGTTTTTGGCCAGCACATAGCGCTTGTAATTCCCCGCCTGCTGTGACACTCTATGCCATTGTTATACTTCCAATTGTTGTTGGAATGTGCGCCGCATACAAAATAACGCGACTCTGTACTGCGGTCGCCCCTGCCACCAGAGGTTGGGAGCGGGCCACTTGTGCCACTTCGCGTTGCGACGTCAACGACAACGACAACCACTTGCCAGCAGTGCCTTTTGTTTTTTGTTGCGTCAATCGTCACAGCAGCTGCTCTGCTTCTTCTACTTCCACTTCTGCTTCCACTGCGGACTCTTCCTCCAGCCCCTTGTCACTCCGCCTTCCGTCTTCCGCTTCTCGATTCGTTTTTTTCGGCGCTTTGTTCTGGCCTGACAAGTTTCTGACAGTCAACGAGGCGGTCGCACTCACGGCTGCCACTTTTCCCTTTCTTCTTCTTCTTTTCGGCTGCTGCTTCTGTCTATTTGCTTCGTGTAGTTTTTCACTCGCCACTTGTCTTACAAGCGCTTTTCACATTGCAACTTATTTAGTTTTCGTGGCGAACAAAACCCGTTCACTTTTCAATATGCGCCTGCCGGCCTGCAAAGAAAATAAAAAAGAGAAGGTGGGGCGCTTGAGTAAAAAGTGAAAGAAAAGTTAGCACAAGTTTTTTTTTCGCAAATCGTTCCGAGCATTTGCCGCATTGGCTATGCTTGAGTTATGGCAGCCGAGAAGCCAAACCCGGCCCAACAACCCAACCAACAAGCTCCGTCCACCCGCTGGACCAACGTCAACACATTTTCAATAATCAGCCACCCGGCAATGTTGGCCAGGACGAGAGGACCGCGGAGTGGCCAGAAATGACGTGTCTTGGCGTTAACTTCGTTTTAAAGTTCAGCGAGCCGTGGTCGTGGTCACTGCGCCCCCGACAGTACTTCACTTGCGCCCAAACTTTTGCCACCGTAAACTTTTTTAGCTCAAGTAGCGGCATCAGCAGCAGCAGCAGCAACAACAACAACAACACAAATGAAAATAACAACAACAAGCTGAGCAACAACATGCCACGGGTGCTGCAAGCATTTGACCCACAGACTTGGCGCGTCAAAAACATTTGTACAAGTAACTTCCAACTCTGAAGCGGGTAAATGGCCGCTTGGGGTGGGGGATGGGGTCACATTTGTGACGAGGGCTGTGTGCGAGGGCAAGAATAATGAACAAATACACACAATAAAAAATAACCATAAAGAACAATTGTCGAAAGCGAATTCAGAACACAACAATAGGCACAACAACTGAATTGTAAATACACTCTCCCAACAATCTTGATTGTAAGCGAAGCAACTATCCTCTTACTGATTGGCTCACCCAAAAGCATTCTACGTTATTTTTCTTACAGGAATAAAATCTAATATAAACAAACTAATTCCAACTGTAGAAGCACACGCAAGTCTGCTCTTAAAGATAAACCGGTAAGTGGACATTATTATTTTTCAATATTATTGTCAATTGTCCATTTCATAGATATTAATTATGAATACTTACTACAATAAGATCGTTCGTTTTTAAAGTTTCAAAACAATCTGTTTTGTTAGGTACTGACAATTTAATTCCTTTAACTCAGAAAAAGAATGATTGAAACTAAAATTGTATCGTTAAATACTCTTAGAAGGTATAGACAAATATTCCGCGTTATATAAGTGTATGTAATGCGTTTAGTAAACACAAAAAACAGCACAATTCTTCATCTAGAATGCTAGAGCATTAAAGAAAGTATGGAAATGTTTCTTAAGAAGGGGGCACTTGTTCGATCGCTTTTCATTAAAATGCTCAACAATGTGCTCATTGTTGTTATTGCATTTAATGTTTGTGTGCTTGTGTGCGTGTGTGTGTGTACACTTAAACTTATATTGCGCAATCATGCGCCAGCAACAACAAGCGCACATAAAACTCAAAAACAATCAAATAAGAAGACCCCCAAACAACCACAAACAAAAATTGAACACCCCAGCGAAAAGCATAAAAGTCAAAAAGGCCAATTTCGAACAACAACAACACTGCCCATTGTGTGTAGCAGTAGCAGTAGCAGCGCCAGTAGCAATAGCAGTGGAATGTTTGCAACACCCTAATAAAACTAATTGAAAGTCTTGTGTGCTGCGAAGCCAATAATGCCAATGATGCCAACGTTGATGTCGGTGTTGGCGCTACCGACAACGTCGACGACGACGACGGCGACGACGAAGCCGACAACAATAACAACTGCACAGCAATGAAGCTTTTAATTTAACAAATAAGAGCGTGAGGCACACCGACATACTATATATACACGCACATACCCACATTCATTGAGAGCCTGCCACTCAGACTCGACGCGACTCGACTCGGCTCGACTTGCCACAGTTTTCGCTGACATTGCAACCGTGCCCGTGCTATCCATTTCGCCTGTCCAGACACGCAAACCACCAAAAAGAGAAACCATCGCCGCCAGACAGCTGTTTTTAAGCAGCAACAGGCGATATTCTCGTCAACGAACTGCCTTTCCATTATACGAGCACGAGTATTGCAGTCTTAAATATTTTACAAGTATGTAAGCACTCGCATAACAATGCTAAAATATCTGCGAAACCCCAAACAAATCAGGTCGAAGTTCTTATATTTATTGAAAAAAAGAGAGTAAAACATATATTTTTTAAAGTCCATTTAATTTAAACGTGCACTATGCCCAAAATCTCTAAGCCGGCTAAAGCACAAATGCTCCATTATATTAATTGATTTCAATTTATATTTCTTTTCGCTTGTGCCACTTGGAGTTCGAGCAGGGAAATGTAATAAACTGTCATTAAAAGATGGGCCCACTGTAGTGTTTGCAACAATGTAGGCGCTAGGTTGCCAATTCGAGGGCAATGGTCGTGTTTTCTCGGTGCGCAAAGGTTAACGTTTTTTGATGCTAACTCAATATAAATAAATTGATTTCAAATTTCAACAACTTGACGCAGCTGCTGGGCAAGCAAAACGAACGGCCGGATTGGGCTGATTGGCGGTAGGGTGGGGAGCGGCAGCAGCTGGACGAAGCTTTTGTCAATTACATGTCGGGGGCGGATAAAGCGAAGCCCCCAAAAGCATGCTATGAATTTTTTTGCAGCACAAGAGCGTTCAAATTCAATTATGTGTGTCGGTCGGTCTCTGCACCGCACGCCCTGAGCGCGCGTGTGTGTGTCGTGGATGTGTTGGTGCAGACGCTGCTAAGCAAACACACGCACACAGAATCAGATTGCAATATGTGTTGCCAATTGTGTGCAAGTGTGTGTGAGTGTGTGTGAGTGTGTGGCAGATGGCAATTGAAAAATTTGATTTCAAATTGAAATGCAAATCAAGCAAAATTGGACGGCATTAGCCGGACAAGTGGCCTCGAAGTCGTCCACTCAAACCAGCACTAAAATTGCGCAATGTTTAGTTAAGTGCCGCACTCATGCTCACATTTGTGTGGGTGTGTGTGTGTGTGTGTGTGTTTGAGTATTTTGTGTGGTTGTCTACACACGAGCATACTCGTATAGTAAGCATGTATGTATGTGTGTGTTAAATGTAAACCAGAAAACCAAACCGAATCGAATCGTAGTCGTAGTCAATGGCTGGTATAAAGTTCAATTGCAATGCATTCAAAAGGATTATTGTGCTTATTTATTTTGCTAAATTTATTCGTTACGCACAAATGCGCAAACCAATACACTCACACCTCACACAAGCCCCCCAAGAACAAAGGGCCAAGCTAAATAAAAACACCAGAGAGGGAAGAAGGAAAGCACAGCATCAACATATGTATACGTGCGAAATCAAAGCACATAAACAATAAAAATAATCGGGCCGTTAGTAACACATGTGCATTTTTCATCATCATCATCATCAGCATGGGCATCAGCATAAGCATCAGCATTGGCTTCCAGCAGCCACAACCTCCTTGATGGAAGCACCAGCAGCCACAACAACAACAACAACTACTACTACAAGAAAAGGCGACAGGCGACAGCAACGGCAACGGCAGCTCGAAACGGGCGGCAATAAATAGTTGTCGTGCCATAAGAAAAATGCAAGTAGTGTTTAAGTTTTTTGGCATGTGCCCCAAGCAGCGGCAACCGAAAACTCTGCCCCTGACCGCACTCCTCCCTCCTGCCCCATAAGCCACGTTGCTCTTTTCGCTTAAGCTTTTCTGCTGCTTCATCACCGAAATTGAAAAAAGGAGAAAATCGAGCGAGCATAGTGTGGCAAAAGGGAAAAGATAAAGATATAGGGAAATGGGAAGAGAAGGTGCGAGCGCGCAACAAAGCAACACTTTTGTGTATCATTTACACTTCTAGGACTTGACTGCATTTGACTGACAATGATTGTCAATGAAATGAAGCTTTGGTATTGATTTCAGATTCCATTCCAGATTGAATTCGAAATGGCACCGGCACAAGGGCCGAAGTAAAATATGTTCATGGCTTGTCATTGTTTAAACACGTGTTAGACCTACGTGTGTGTGTGTGAGCAACTCTTCGAGTCAGTTTTGTTGAATTTGCATGCAAATAAAAATAAATGTAAATCAAAAGAGTAACGAGAAAGTGAAAGAAAGAGGCCTCTATTCAATAGACTGAGTGTCTTTCATCCTCACATCACATTCCTTGTTTATGGATCTTTACA